CGTGCGTGCGTGCGTGCGTGCGTGCGTGCGTGCGCGTGCGTGTGTGCGTGCACGTGTGTGCGTGCGTGCGTGTGTGCGTGTGTGTGCGTGTATGGGTGGTGTGACCGGGTGCGCACGAATTCATTTAAACGAGAGATGATTTGAGTTAAGGTATTCGTGTAAATAGATACGAGTAGTTGTTGCAAAACATTACGTTTGGGTGGTGTCCGTATGCTATTTGGTAGGTGACACACTATTACTCTGATATAACAGGCCCTAGCTCACGGCCATCGACCGAACTAACTACCGAAGATTACTATGGTCGCAGAATCAGATACACATGGAAGCACACCGATTATGTTGACTCAAGGCAGGCGTTCCTGGTTCGTACTTTACAGTAACAGCTGGTGTTACCTTAGCTACAGCTTTATGCAGTACTTTTATGTGGGATATCTTTATCTCTATATAATTATAATCATACTTAAAATTGCGCATTAGAATGTTTAGGCATTCACACTAATAACCCAAAGAAAGATTATCCTAATGTACTACAGCAGTCTATACATATATTATGTGGTTAGCTTATACAATATAAGTCAATAGCGTAAATATGTACCTAACATAAGTTGGGTGCTTTTTATACGTACTTACACGTAATAATATGTGTGTTTACAGACAAATGTTTATCAACTTGTAAACGCAACAAGGTTATTTTCAATGATTATTACCTGAATGATATGAAGACGTATACTATTGTTCTACATCACCGTTATATGTCGGTGTTTACGGTCAATCTGCTATTATACAGGATCTGGGATTAATGGTAATGTCGGATATGAACGTTGATGCGAGACCGTGCAATTCCGAGCAGCAGACATATTACGAATACAATTTCTTTGATAACCGTAAGTTTTCCATCCAAAGTACTCTTCTATACGATGTTTACGTTCGGAAAATCATCGGACGCAATTATAACGTCTCAATCTTTATATGCCACAAAGCGCGTTATGTCCATGCACACAACTGTCATAAACATTTTATTATAAATATTGTTGTGTAGATGCCAATGATTAAAGACATATCTTAAATATCCTTTATTAGGCCGTGGTGTAGAAGACTTTACTACCTCCGCGGCGGCGACATTTACTCTTTCTACTTCGGATCCACCTGCAACTACGTCAGCTATTACTGGCGCAGATGACGACTCGGATGACAATGATGTCGAGCCCCAAGAAACGCCATCTACGCCCGATATAAGAACCTTTTTCCCAGAGACGTGGCTATGGACGCTTGAAAAAGTCAAGTATGTAATGCAAATAATATGAATAATGTTTGGCTAGTGCGGTGGCATAGGATCTCATGCCGACTGTGTCGATCGTGCTTCTGCATAAGACGAGTTGTGTTATAGTGTGAGGTTGTGAGCCTTACCACTTCCTCTTGACATAGCGATGGAAGACCTATTTCTACACCCAGCGCTGTGTGTAACAAATGATAAAGTACCTCAAATGATCATGAGTAAATCTAAGGCTAAACTGTTATAATGGTGTCCGCGTGCTCATATACGTAATGTCGGCTTGACGAGTTAAGTTCACTCATTCGTTGTCGAGAAACATCTTCACATTGAAGACGATAGTAACGTTCTTTCACTTTGGCCATCACTGCTAAAGTCGATAGACTAAGTACGGTCACAAATATACGCGGCCGGGTGTTGCGTATTATGTGAATATACGTTTTTTATACTCAGAAATTCCGTGCGAAATTCCGTAAATCAATGACAGTATTCTATATCAAGAGACTTGAAGTATGATTATGTCGCAAAGACGAGTGAAATGTAAAGAGATAAACGGTAGCTGAAAATAATATCTTAACGCTACTAAGCCTAGTTGCTCACTTTCCGTTGAGAGGTCAGTCGTGACGTCACGTCTTACTTCACTTTACGTACGCTTCACTTTGACTTACGTTGACTTTACTCTGACAGTGACAGCGGCGAGCTGCTAGTTCGTACCGAGGTGCCGGACACGATCACGGACTGGGTGGGAGGCGGCTTCTGCACGAGTGAGGAGACGGGACTCGGCATCTCCCCGCCGCTCTCTCTGCGCGCCTTCCAACCGTTCTTCGTCTCTTACACACTGCCTTACTCCGTCATCCGCGGGGAGAAGGTGCCGCTCATCGTGTCCGTCTTTAACTACCTCTCCGAATGTCTGGCGGTGAGTATAGAGTTGTAGCTACTATACGCTCCCTCAGACCGTGACATGCACGTCAGTCTGCCCGTATAGCGTAGTGTATATAATAGTAAGGAAAAATATAACCAGGAGTGAATAATAGAGATGATCTCTTTCTCTATCTCAATATATATTCACTCTTGATATAACTATATAGTGTGGTGAATATTAATATATCGGGCAATGTCAGCATTGCACCGTATACGTAAATGCTTGAGAGCATGTCAAGAAATCGTGGTGTATAAAAATTTATTATAAAATAAATTCCCGTGCCAATGATAAGCCCGGGATGTAATTAACAATATTGATTCGTGCAAGTCATTGTAGTAATTAAAGCAATTGATAACCAGTCTCGCATGATTAATGACGTCGGTTTAAATATTTCCGCTCAGATTTCGCTCACTCTCGATGAATCGGTCGCGTTTGACATCATTGACGGAAGCGAGGCTGAGATATGTGTATGTGGAAGCAGATCATCCACTCACAGGTTAGATGCGTGAAAATGGCATATATAGTATTAGTATAACTTTATAATCTTGGACTCACATAAGCCATATAGCTCAATAATAAATAGTTTATTGTGTTGGTTGTTTATCACAACTAGTGCGTCAATTATCATGCTATTCGAATATTACTGTCGATATATATATATATATATGTCATTAAATAATATATGTACGTCGTGACCCGTTTTTTATGTGATAATATCTTTGCCTCGTGGTTGATTCGTGTGATTCATTGACATTCTATTCCAACATGCCACTATAATAATATCATATAACACTAAAACATCAACGCGATAATTTGAGTCAAGCTAGGACAAGACAGTTTTGAGCATGTATTTAATCGATACTGTCTCGCGTTAGGTTCATGATTCAACCCCGAGAGCTAGGCGACGTCAACATCACTGTACACGCCATGACTGCTGACTCAGGCAGCGCCATCTGTCGAGCCGGTGCCGTCATGAGCACAGTCACAGGAGTCCGCGATGCGATCACGCAGCCACTGCTGGTGGAGGCGGAGGGCGTAGAGAAGTCCTACTCCATTAACTGGTTCGTCTGCCCGGACGACGGGGAACCTTTCTCTGACGTCATGGACCTAATGCTACCCTCCGAGAACCTAGTACCCGGTAAATAAATATACGGGTAGTTAATATATTTATAAAATAATATTTAAATCCGAACAAAAATGACATTATCGATTTAAATTCCTGAATTTCAATATTAGTTTTTAGATAATGTGCATAGGCCAAGCTGAGATTTTGTACCGATGATCTGTCTATAGCACTGCAGTGACGTCATACACATTTTCTCACCACAGATTCGGGTCGTGCACGGGTGTCCATCATCGGTGACGTTATGGGAGCTCCCTTAGATAATCTTGACGGACTGCTGAAGATGCCGTACGGATGCGGGGAGCAGAACATGATAACGTTCGCTCCTGACATCTACATCATGGAATACCTCACAACCACCGATCAGCTGACGCCGGAAATCCAGGGGAAAGCTGTGGGATTCATGAAGTCCGGTAAGCCACAGAGGAAAGCAGAGCTTCCAATCGTTACGTACAAGTTCTTGTATTATCTGATTTATCTTGCGACAAAACGTTAGTATCTTTGGCCAACTTGACTGTAAAATCATTGTTACAAATCTGGCGATGCAGGCTACTAGAAGAAACCGACATTTAATCACACGGACGACGGCTATAACCCGTACATACAGTATGTTTCACCTACAGGCTACTAGAAGGAGCTGATGTTTAATCACACGGACGACGGCTATAACCCGTACATACAGCTATGTTTCACCTACAGGCTACTAGAAGGAGCTGATGTTTAAGCAGACGGACGACGGCTCTAGCGCGTTCATACAGCTGTGTTTCTCTTGCAGGCTACCAGAGGGAGCTGACGTTTAAGCACACTGACGCCGCCTATAGCGCGTTCGGTAACCGCGACAAGGAAGGCAGCATGTGGTTGACAGCGTTCGTCGTGCGCTGCTTTGCGCAGGCGCAGCCATTCATCTACATTGATGGGAATGAGATCGACATGAGTGTGCGTTGGATCATCAAGCAGCAGCGTAGAGATGGCTGCTTCCCTCGGCTCGGCACGTTGCACCACAAGGACATGAACGTACGTACCTCTGCGAGGGCCATCTAGTGATGAAATGAGCATAAATAGTTAGTCCCTACGAGGTTCATGTAGAGATAGATGGGGTTTGGAGTCTAAAGAGCCGACAGAAATGAGGAAGGGGAAAATAAACATTTGGTCTCAAAGACGGCCATCTAGAAGAGACACGCGACAAGAAATACATTTCTCTCTATGAGACCAAGAGAGCGCAAGGTGGTACGATCTTTGTATCAAGATTTATAATTTCTTTTGACACTATATTACACACGCATCGTGATGTCCTCATATTCGCAGGGAGGCGTTGGTAATTCAAAGACCAACGCAACGCTAACAGCCTACGTTGTGACGTCGTTGATCGAGTCCAAGGTTGCTGATACAGAGCGAGCCATCTCAGATGCCTTCTCCTGCATTGAAGGCGAAACCTTCGACGACGCCTACACCACGGCCCTGGTGGCCTACGCGTACGCCCGCTACGGTGATATGAACAAAGCTCAGGAATACTTGGATAGGTAAAAACACACGACCTTAGATGGTACATCAGTTCACCTGAACTAATGAAAACTAAAATTATCTACTATCACCAATAAGTGCGGTGTCTTTCGCCTTATTGGAGATTATATGGAGTTATCAGCCGTTTAACACTAACGGAGTTGAACATTCGGCTGCCTTTCCTCTTACTACGGTGCTACGAGTCGGAGAATACATTGTAAAATTATACCTGAATAGATATGTATCCGAGGAGCCGCATAGTACTGTAAACTTCATCACCGATTATGTTTCAATAGGTTAATGAAGCTGGCTGTACGAAACGAGACGGCACAAACTGTAAACTGGGAGAAAGCCGAAGCAGAAACAGTCGACGTTACGTAAGTACCAAAATTTTTGTTTTATAGTCGTGGTATAGTGATAATTTTTAGTGTTCGGAATTCCTATACTCGTTTGTAAGTTACCCCTACTATCAATGTCCGTGAATTCACAGGTTGCCATGGAACCGTCAGGCTGAGAAAAAGTCGATAAACACTGAGATGACAGCATATGCTCTGCTGACGCTGACGCTGATTGAAAGCGATGATTCGACGCTGCCTCTCTCTATCGTCAGGTGGTTGACGCAGCAGCAAAACTCACGCGGTGGTTTCTCATCAACACAGGTACTCAACTTGAGCTATCGACGTTCAAGCAGCAATGCAGCTCATGACATGGTCCGCACAACTAGCCTTAGATTTCGTGGATTGAAACAGATTAACGTAAACTCATATATGCAATTAAGGATCACCTCTCATTGTCATGGATCGTAAATGCTAATTGATAATTAGCATTTCATCTAATTCTGTTTCTACTATTGCTCCGCAGGACACCGTAATCGCTCTGCAGGCTCTCTCCCAGTTCGCTATGAAGTTTTTCGGTTCGCAAAGTAGCAGCGACATTACGGTCAGCGGTGACGACGTTGACGCTGCTCTGAGCGTGTCTGGCACCAACAGCCTTGTCCAGCAGCTGGTCGACGTGCCCTCGGTGCCCAGCGTGCTAGACGTCACAGTGACGGGGACACGATGTGTCATTATTAAGGTGAGCTAACTCGACGAGAGTACGTGTTACGGCTCTGACTTTTAAATGGTAGCAGTGATGCTCTGCTGTCATCATATATATAGTGTCGCACATTTATTCACGTTGCATGAGTTGCAGCTAAAATTGCACCTAAAGTAGTTTTTGCCATCCGGCTAGTGTAATAGAGACGTTCGACTAATTATTAAACTAAAAAAATAATTTATTGTTGTATAACACTAGCTTGTCTAGCCATGCTTTAATACCAGAGACCTTACGCCACTGCTCTTATTTTCCATATAAGATGAAACTTTTTACTATTCTAACGCTGCATGTCGTGCTGACTGAATGCATAACCAACGTAACAACTTGTGACGGACAGATTACAGCGGGACAGCAGTACAAGCCTGAGGTTTTTTTGATTACAGGGTAATGTCTTCTACAACTTGTACGAAGAACAGAGAAGAGTCCCCGTGTTCTCCGCAACAGCCAACGTCACGACGACCAACTGTAAGACGTGGCAGATGACAGCCTGCGGAACGTACGTACACATCTCTCTAACTGCCATGACAGTACTCGTCTAAGCCATTATAGTTTAATGCAGTTATATCGATGTCCCACTTCAATTCTATGTTAAGGACAGGCGTTTCTGTTCGTTGGTAATTTCTAGTTCCACTATAATATTTCAAAAGGTTCACTTCAAGTTAATAATTTCTATGAACTGTTATAAACACTGTAGAATTCAACACGAACCAGCTGCATAAAACTAATTTGCCCGACATTCAATATAAACTGCATGATTAATAACCGCAGCGAACACGGCAATTTAAACAGCATTTAATTAATACACTTTAGCGTTGTTACATGGGTAGTAGTCGCACCCAATATTAAAATAATGTGGCTATGCCTTGCGCTACAACAGTCGAATGTGTCGTTAACCGTATACGTATCTTTGGAATATTTTAGGTACGCTGATAAGGAGGAATCATCAAACATGGCAATCATTAGTGTAAATATGGTCACCGGGTTTTCGCCTGTGAAATCTTCGCTAAATAAGGTAACGTTTAATTTAACGTTGATTATTTGAATTATAATTTAATGAGTTTTTAATAAGTTTTCACGCATTTCCGAGACGATTTCAAAGATGCCAGAAGCATCACAATTTTTTGGTATAACATACCTATAGTGGTTTTATTAATTCCTCTGCACTAGAGAGTTTTAATCACTGCTTAGGTAGGTACACACACACATAAACACACACGCACGCACGCACGCACGCACGCACGCACGCACGCACGCACGCACGCACATACACACACGCGCGCGCGTAGGCGTATGTGAGTACGCGTACCCGTTGGTTTATATTTCATTTGGTTTTGTGCAGATTTTTGAGAAGCCCATTAAGAATTCACAATTGAAACGTTTCGACATTGAAGGCAAGACTGTAGATATCTATGTAAATAAGGTAAGCGTATGCCTAACCAGTGGCGTGTTAATCAAGTAATTTTAAAAGGAAGTTCTCGACCGAATGTCGCATTATAAAATAATGTAACGTAATAACTATACAATAACTTTTTCGGTCATAATGACGCCATTGCAGACAACCAAGATCATGTTTTACTCGAATCTTCATATTTCAGTTTGAGCCAGGCGAGCAGGTTTGCGTGACCTTTGACCTGGAGAAATATCTAGACGTGGAAAATGTGAAGCCGGCTGTTGTGAAGGTGTACGACTACTATGAGCCAGGTAAATACAACAGGTGGCGCCACATAGAGTCACTACCTACGCACATAGCCGTCTGCTCTCAGCTATATAGAAATAATTTTCTCTCGTGGGATACAGCTCTGCCAGGGTGTGAGAATTTGCATGGTATCAGTCAAATAATCTTGTCGTACATATTTATATTTACAGAAGAGGTAGCTTCCACTTCATACAGTATCGACGAATGCAAGTAAGCAACTTCGCAAGTAATATAGCAACCACCGAAAGAGAATGGCGGCAAACATATATCTACACGAATGATTGCGCGACATCAAATTTAATTTGGTATTGCATATAATCATTTGCCGCACGTCATTAAAAGTACTAACCACAACTATACTGCTCACGATTAACAAATTCTACATCTTGTAAAATACGGATTATAACCCTAACAAAAACGCAAACGCGTGTACACACACGTAAGCACCCATGTACGCGTGTAGACGGATACATCGCTATTTCTATAGGGTAGCCTTTATATTTTTATTGTAAGACACAGCACGCATATAACATATGATTTTATAGAAATATTCGGTTTACCTTTGTATCGTAAAATTGTTCAATGTAGTAAATAAAACGATATTTTTTAATTATTAAAAAAAAAAATTATTATTCATATTGTTTGTTATAATATATATTATTCGTATTATGCGATTGGACACTGTCGTGTTATAATAGGGCAATGCCGACAATCCGGCCATATTTCTTATGTAGTTTCACGTGGGACGTGGCGCATAAACTTAGCTACGCAATTGAATCTTATTTTCTTATGTAATTATAAGTCTTTATGTAAATGTATATTATTTTTCTATGTAAGATTTATTCACTACGCTGACTATAAAAACAGCGACATGTCTATTATACGTATATCATTATGCTTTCCGGACAATATATTGGCTTCTACATGACGCAATTGTGGGATCTTCGTACATTTTAAGAAGAGTCACTGACAGTTCCCAGGCAGAAATTAATGAAATCGCTATCAGCAAATATAATCCGACTTTTCGTCCGATACAATCCATTTTGGAAAACATTTCCCGGTTATTTCCGTATGGGACGGAACTATATTTAAAATAAGACTAGTTCGATGTGTATCCCATACCGTATGAGCCGAATCCTTAAATAAGCCACCTTATACATGCGACTCCATTCATTCGTTGAGATTCTTACATAATTATATATAAAAAATACTCATATTTCGCAAATATACTACACAATTTATTTCGCACCAACTAACGAACATACGTACAGGCGGAGTTTGCGATATAAATAATAAATAAACGAACTTCAACACGTATAACGAACAGTTGCTTTTTTAAAAGGCAAACATGAAATATAATTAACAAAGAAAATTCACTGCTTTCTATGCAATGCGCCATCCTAATCCGTCACGTATATGTTCCCGCCCACCCCACCCGTTACCATACCATTTTTACCAGCCCTTTAACCGGCAGCTTATTAGGACGAGTATGTGTTTAGAAATAAATAGAAAACTGACAAAGACATTATGTAGATGAACTGCAATAAGCTTGGCCTGTGCAAATAGCCAAATACCAGTATGGGGCGAATTATTTTCCATGTGATATGTGATTTTCGGAGTTGAATAATTATAGAGCTTCTTTGAGCCCATCGAAATTCGTAGACGCTATTTCGTGAATTGGATAAAATAAGCACTCATAACTAAAGGTCGTGAATTCACTTTACGTGATCTACAAAAATCGTGATTTAACGGTTTTGATATTTGATTGTTCGATTGTGCCTATATTGACTATGTGCACAGTGCTGCACTCATTTTAATAATGGCCAGGCGACGGACTTCTAGCTGAAAGATTTATCCTGCTGCCTGAGTAAATAGAGCTTTCATGCACGTCATCGATATCCTTGCGCTGGTGGCGGCTCCTGTGGTAGAATAGTGCGGATAGCGTCATGAATAGAAGAAGCAGCAGACCTAGAGTTACTACAGCGATGATAAGATAGGCTGGCGACAGGCAGCTTTTCATCTCTACGGCACCGGATTCCGCCAGTCTGTCTTGAAACGAACTCGCCAGAGAGTTTGGTGCGCTGTCCGGTTTAGCATCTGCAATGTGAATATGCAAGCAAATTAGATCAACGTTTAGATATGTTGTTATATGATATATATATTATATATATATATATATAACCACGTACGTACACACACACTGCCGCACGGAGGTATACTCAGGAACGAAAGCACGCGCGCTCGCACACACACGATACATCCGTGTGATATCTGTATCTATATCTATCTCTCTCTATCTCTCTCTCTCTCTCTCTCTCTCTCTCTATATTATATATATATATATATATATATATATAACCAGTCATATGCAACATTTTCGGCTCGCACCACACCTACGTTCAAAGTATATCTATATTTCGAATATTATTATTATAAGGAATCTTATTACGTATGTGAGCGATTACCCAGTGGACAGTCCACTCATACTTATTAACACGAAAGGTCGATGAAATCATGTTGAATAGGAAGTGCGCGGTATTACTTACTTGGTTCAGGTGGCACAACGACAGTAATTGTGTTATAAAGCTCCACTGTCATGTCTTTATCATTTGCAGGATTAGCAGTTACATCGGCTTCATTTTCTGCTTGCCTCCTCCGGCGCTTTCCGGCAAAACCGCTGCCTGGAATATTGCTGCAAGCCGGCTAGAAATATAATAAACACGTAGTGATGATCAGAATCTACGTGCAGATAATCAGTTTCAATATGATTACATAAATGAAGCGCATGCACGCATGCGTATATTAATATTATACATATTAGTTAAGGCGTTCATAATGCAATTGATAATGGCTGAAATGTGATTAAGACCCACGTGCGCATTTTGACGCCATATTGTGATCACATATCTCAGTCACATTCTCTGTGTTAACCATTACGGTTTAAAAAGAATGGAAAAGTTCTTCCACGACATTCATATAATAAAAGCCGCTTTAGAATACCTTTACAGGTAAAACCATACTAGAAATCCATACATCGGTTATATACACCCTAGTATACCACCTGGTCAAAGTAGCATCAGTAGTGAATGCTGCCCTACCTTTGTGCATTCACCGAAGCATACGTGGCATTTGCATTCAAAATACACATTCGCTTGATCGGGAAACTTGAAAACCTGTTAAAGTAACAACAACAGATCTGACATTCAACGCCGCACAAACGCTAATTTTCGCTCGCATCTGTCACGAGCATGTACACTGATGCTACAGCATCCATGGGCTTGAGCCATTAGATACACGGTTTAGATTCAACACATAGGTTCATACAGTTGCCCCGCTTCAGCTTATCGTAACTAGGTTAAGTAAAGCGAAATGCCGCACGAAATTCATTACCAAATCAATTCAAATTAAGCTTCTAAACGTTCACCTCTCAATTTCTAATCTAGCAACCACCGATCGAACTAGAGGAGCTGCTCTGTCTGTATGCGCTTTGGCTCTAGCCTACACTAATTAGCGTAACCCTAATTATATCGGAAATGTATCAACCCCTTCTACATCATAGCATCTTTGAGCTTTTCGGAGGCCGTACACCATTGGCTCTCAAAATATTTTTACATGAAGTGTTTCTCGCACCCAGTGTCAAAAACAACTACTCAAGATCGTAGAATGTACTAAGACGTCGCAACCTGCAGGTTAAGAATTTGTCGATTCAGACTGTCGCAAATCGCCCTCCCCCAATTATCGCTCTTTCTCTCAAAGCGGAGTTCAATTCGTGCCTCACCTTGAAGTGCGAATAAGCGAGCCTGCTTCCGCGGATCAGGCTGTTGTCATCGTAACGCGTCAGGCCGATGAGCTTGCGATGCGCTGGACAGCCGTCATCGTCGAGTAGCGTGATGACACCTGTGCTAGTGCCATCGTGAACCCTGCACTCCGACACGAAGATGCCGTAACGTCCATCACCTGATGACGAGCAAGCCGATTGAAACCCCCTACCTATCACCGACCGTGCTTTCGTTTCATGTTGTTAGACATGTTGTTTATCCGTGGCAGTGCGTCATAATCGCGTTAAACGCGTTGCGATAAACAAATAACGGATGCTACGACCGGCATGCTATTAACGTTTTCCCGTGAGATTTCCATGGAGCCAGTTAACTTATAAATATCAAAATTAATATAATTAATATATCATAAGTAAATGATTATAATAAATAATAAATAATATAGCGAACGCCTAAACAGAAAATTGAATGACGCTACGACCAACTTACTATTAGCTTTTCCCCGTGTGATATTCCTGGACCCAGTTAACTTATAAATATGAATAAATAAATATTTAGAATAAATAATAAATAATATAGCGAACTCCTGAAAAAAAAATTGTATATGTGCGCTCGTGTGTATGGGTTAGTGTGTGTGTGTGTGTGTGTGTGTGTGTGTGTGTGTGTGCGCGTGTGCGTGTGCGTGTGCGTGTGCGTGTGCGTGTGCGTGTGCGTGTGCGTGTGCGTGTGTGCGTGTGCGTGTGTATGTATTTGCGTGCACGCGTGTGTGCGTGCGTGCGTGCGCGCATGTGTGTGTGTGCGTGTGCGTGTGTGCGTGTGTGCGTGCGAGCGTGCTCGCATGTGTGTGCGCATACCCTGCGTTTCAAACACCATCGTTGCGATGTCGCCCAGGAATAGCAGCGTCGTTGGCTGCGCAAGAGGATCTTGGCCCTGCACGATCTTCATCGAACAAGATGGAGCCTCGCTCGTTACAGTGACAACACCGCGCGTCGTCAACATTCTAAAAAATCAAAGTGCAAATAAAATTCGGGTACTATTGTGAATGACGCGTGCCCTGTCGTGGCGAACACTGCGCGGCCAGAATATCACGAGAAAAACAATTGTGCAGCAAGAGGATGACATTAGAAAAGTGGAGCAAAAACGGGTTTAACAAACACGAAATAAAAAAAACGGGCGTACGCGCTTCGTACGTATTAAAGCTGGGTACGTATTTAAGCTGGGTTTACACTATCAACTTTGTGTTGGCGAATTGGCGAATTGGACCAACTTCCCAACTATACAACCGACAATCGGCAGTGTAAACGCAAAGGTTGAGCGACCAACCGATCGATAGCAACTAGTTGGGAGATTAGAACATGTTCTATATTCGCCAACTCGAAGTTGGCGAATTGGAAAGCTGGTCCAAATCGCCAATTCGCCAACATAAATTCGGTAGTGTAAACCCAGCTTTAGCATACTCACGGTACTGTGAAGCCCCAGTCGAATCGCTGCACGGAATCCCCGCCGAACTGACAGGACACAGAGTAGGAGGCGTCCATCATGCCTAGCAGCCCCCACTCGGCTTCGTTCATTATGATGACGGTGTTGTTGTAAAACGATCTAGATGTTCCTGGCTGTAACGAACAAGCGTCGATGCCTATACTTCCGCATCGTACTCCGAAGATGGCAATACCGAACAAGCTCCGATGCCTATACCTCCGCATCATATACTTCGAAGATATATCGTTATTTCAGTTATGGCCTCGCTCGTCTCACTTGCATCGATGCTATGCTACGAAACCTCTCTGATTTATTGCGTTACTGACGATTCCACGTATATTATGCAGATTTCGTTTTCTCACCCCGCTCTTTACTGTCCCGCAGCCGTCCAGGGGAAGGACTAGCTCCAGCAGCGGAGATCCCGTTCCCAATGCTCGGCAGCCGCGTGTCTCGTAAAATCCTTTTGCGTAGAGATATCCGTTGAACGCACGCGTGAACTTGGCACTGACGACGAGTTGGTTGGTATCGGCATTGCATCGCAGTTTGAGATCTATGCGAAAGAAGTGATAAGTCGCCGTACGTTCTCACGTCCTGGTCAAACCGATATAGGGTTCACACACCGCTGCGCATACGCGCGGCATATCAGCGTGGTTAGGCGCAATACGCACTTACAGCTCCCTTACGCTCATAAGGTCTATGTCCCCCAGGGTACTGCCGGAACGTACCCTGGGTACGGTCCGGTATACCGGAACGTACCCTGGTCACTATTTGATATGGTTAGGGTTAGGATTAGGGTTAGGGTTAGGGTTAGGATTAGGGTTAGGGTTCGGGTTCGGCTTAGGGAGTAGGCGTAGGCGATTCCCTAGACTCGTTAGTGGAGTAGGCGAGGAACGGTTCGGCATATTAGATAGTACCAGGGTACGTTCCGGTATACTGGATCGTACCCAGGGTACGGTCCGGCAGTACCCCGGGGGACATAGACCATCTCAGCCTCACTTACAGCTAAGTGGGTATAACACGATACGCACTACACATAGGTGACAGGTACAATGTGGTACGTCCCGCGTAAAAGTAACTGTTAATATGTTGGGATACTTTATGCGTACATGCGCTACATTTTATAGAGTTACAGCACCATAGAGATACGGTGCTATAAATGATGCATGCTATACGGCCACAAGCCTATAGACAATGCACTCTACAGACCTGCTGTACTATATATAGAGGATACCTGCTATAGACCTGCAGTTCTACAGAGAATGCACGCTATAGAGTTACAGCGCTATAGGGGATGCATGCTGTAGAGTTTCTGTGTTATGTGAGTATAAAAACTCCATTCAAGAGATATGATAACTAACTAACTAACTAACTAACTAACTAACTAACTAACTAACTAACTAACTAACTAACTAACTAACTAACTAAC